CTACACGACAGAAATGCTGATGTATTCATAACACACGACAGGTTTCTGAAAGAGTGATGTTGCAATGAAACTGGCCCTTGTTTTCTTAGACAGAGCCAGTCAGGTTGCTATTAAAGGTGAACAGCAAAATCATCTGCTGCCTCTCTCGGGAAACACAGATCCTTTCATGACGTTGAGTTTTCTGCCGAGAAAACTTTATGCACTGTGGGAGCTCTTGGAGATGATTTCACATCATCTATGCGTGATGAATGTCTACAGATCACTGCCAGATTCTGCCTCTGTGGCCTGGCAAAAGTCTGCCACGCTGAAAGAAAACCTGAGAGGCTTAAACTACTCTACGTGCTGAAGAAGCAGGAAAAAACAAACCTATGGACCTTAAGTGTGACAGAAGTCGTTACTGCTGCAGAGCAGGGCAGAACTGCAGGCAGGTGTGAAATACAATCAGTATGAGGAGGTAACTGCTTCTTCAGGAGTCAAAATATTAGAATGCAAGGGAGCCTGTGAATATGCAGATTAATGAACCAAACTTCCTGCTATGTGTGGGCAACAAGAGCTACAAAGGGTTGCCACAGCCCTAAGACATCAGGAACAGGCAGGGAGGGCCCTGCCTGGAAAGAGAGATTCTGGCCTGTGACAAATGACCCCATCTGACACCCACAGTACTCAGCCTGCCTGCTGGGGAGAGAACCTGCGTCCTTACAAGGGTCTCTCTTCAACATCTAGGAGTAGTTAATGGAACAAATGGACACTGTTTTTCTTTTGCTGTTCACCTTTGCGCTAGAGCTTTTCCTTGCGACATCACACGTCTAAAGCAACGGACGGACTGAGCTGGACTGAGGCTAGCGGGGAAAGTTCTGTGGCTGGGTGCTGGGATTCCTCTTGCTGCCCAGCTCTTTGATTTGAAGAAGGTCGAAAAGGTCTTGTGGGTTCCAGTTACCCTTTGGGGTCTTCACATACTGCAGCAAATCCAGCTGCTTTAACGGGGGGAAGCCCTGTTCTTTTTCCATCAGTTCCATCAGCTGCTTCATCAGGCCTGAAGTCTCGTCTCTGCTGATGCTGTCGTAGAGATCTGAGGAATCTTGGCTCTTCTGCGAATCCCACATGGCGTTCGAAAGCGAAATATCCCTGCTGCTGGCTGTGTGCACGCTACCGAGGGCATTGTGGAGCCACATCAGGCGCTTCAGCCCTTGAAACGCCCTCGCTTTGTCATGCATGAGCTGATGCTCCGTCACTGCTCTTCTGCTGCAACGGGAAGAAAGAGGTAGTTAGGAGACAGCACAGCCGGATCTGAGCTCCTGTTTCAGACGTGTTTGATCTGCCGCCATCAATCTGGGACGCTTCTCTAAGCTGAGGAAGGAGCACTGGTGATGTCCCCACACCATGTAGCCGAGGCCAGTAGTGCTGGTGCCCCAGCCAGCCTGAGCCTCGCGAAGCCCACAGCGGGAGCGCTCCCACGCAAGCTGCCTTGGGCAGCCGGTGATGCAGCCAGTTCCTGACGGTGGGAAGCTGAAACACCGTGCCATTCCCCGGAGGTACACCTTGAACCACCTTTTCAAAAAAAAAAAGTTTGTCACTGTTTCTCCAGTTGGGGAGACAGCTGGGGAGACGGTGACAAAATGACCTTAACAGGATTAAAGGGCTCTTAGAGATATTTGGTCTTTCCCAAATTTGGGTTCTTTTCAGAGGTTTACATACCGGAATAAAATTCCCTTTTCATGACCTTCGTGTTTTAGGATTATTGGGTTTGTTTCTTTCCTTGCAGAGCTGTAAGTCAGGAGCAAGTAAACTGAAGTCAGTGGTGTCCGTGAAATGAAAACAAAGCCTTATTTTCTTCAGATATACCAAAAATGTTGAGCCAAATATGACTGGGGAGAGCTGGCTAACTCTGGGATGCAAGCATTTCTGGATTTCAGGCTGTTTAGATAACAGGTAACTACAGCTACGGGCTCCCGCTGCAGGGGAACCTAAATATGGAATTGCAGTATGTGCCATTTCCATGGCTTGCGTGGAACATCCTGGCATGGTTTGCTGCTCAGTGGTTAAAAGCATCAGCTGAAATGGGGTATACATTACGCATCTAAAAATGCAATTGGTCTAATTTTATACTGCATAGAGGGCGATGTAAAATGTTGTCGTATCAAATGTGTAGAATTTTCTTTCCACCATGCCCTGGAGTAAATGACAGCGTGGAGAATACAGTCCATTAAATCAAAGCCAT